AGAAGTGGGTGCGGGATTCTCATTGCTGCTATAGTAGTCAGACCCCCGTGGGTCCATATTTAATATTTTTTTAAGTAAAATTAGGATATTTGAGAGGAAATTATTTATATTTTATTATTTTCTTGTTTTGACAGACTTTAGCTATTGTTTTTGTGCTTTGGAAACTCTCTATTTTTTTTATTTTTCAGAGCATTATATTCTGTTTCTTTTGCAAGTGTTGTGTTTGTATATTGCTCAAGAACATGCGGATTTCTTCTTGCCGTCTGTATCTTTTCGTTGTTCCATCGTTAGACTCGCTGTTTTCCACCTGGACAGCTGCCAAACGCCTCTTCTCCCCTTCCAAATACCGTCAACCTCCCATAGTCTCATTCCCTTGCCATTTCACAACCACCTCCTTGCTAAATTCTCTTCCTAAACACCTTCTAGAAGCCCTAATATATTTTCAGATTTGATATATTGCTGTGAATTGCCTTGTTCTTGGTCTTCTATTGAGCTTATCTGAACTGATGCATTTAATATAAATTAGTTTAAATGTTTAGTTCTTACTCTTTTTATTGAGAATGTTCAATCTGTTCTTTAATTCCAACAGGTGTTAAAGTTGTAGAAACTCAAGAGAATGAACTACTTATTGAGCCTAGACTTCGATGGGCTGGTAATTGCAATGTCAACGTGGCTCTAAAACTGTTTTCCCTTAAATTCAATGTACAGGTAAGCCACTAAACGATATGATAAAACGGACTGTGTGTTTCTAAAAAAGAAAAAAAAGGATGATTAACATACGTACCACTCATCTCCTATGAATTTACATATCTAACACCTTACCTATGCATGAACACCTTACCTATGCATGAAAATGTTACCTATGCATGAAAATGTGCATTTCACTTAAAGTTAAATTGATGGCATTTTTTTATGTGAAAAGAAATATTTTAGTGGTATTAATGTAAAAAGTAAAGTTTTAGTGTTAGATATGTAACTGCATAAGAATTGTGTGGTTTGCATGTAAATGTCCTAAAAAAGGCCTAATCTTTGAACCATTTTTCGAATTTTTTATAGTTGTTGGATTTACAAATATTCTTGGCACCTCGTATTACTCTAAAGCCACTTGTTCCAAGTTTCCCATGTTTTTCAAGCATAAGTGTTTCTTTGGTGGAAAAGGTAATTATACTAGGAATGGTTTTTTGCTCAAGTGAACATTTTTAAATCTTTTTTCCAAATAATTTTTCATTTTTCTTCTTCTATTGCAGCCTTATCTTGACTTTGGACTCAAACTACTTGGGGCAGACATCATGGCCATTCCTGTATTATATCGCTTTGTTCAGGTCTTCAAACTTCCATAATCTACATTAATCTGGGAAGCATAGTTTACATTGAAGTCTGGCATGATTATTTTTGTTTTCTTACTATTAATTCTAGAAAATAAGTTTTTAACATACTTCAAAATTGGATTGAAACTAACCATAATCTATATGAAATTTTCTTTTAAGGACAAAATTGCTTCCGAAATTTCAAAACTCTACCATTGGCCTAAAGATTTGGAGATAAAAATTCTGGATAATGCTAGGTAATTCTCACCATCTAGAATTAGGACGAGTTTTTTCTCCTTCGCTTTTGTTCTCAATGAGTTACTTCTTGTAGCTCAACTTTGTATGAAATTTTGTTCTTTAAGAGTAAATGCTTTTACTAGATGAACATAACTTAATTTCTATCTTTTTTATGTAAATTGTTCGAGAAGTTACAAGTTGCATGCTGACATTTATTTAGAATGAAGTGCTAAAATAGTCCCTTGGCTATTTACACAGGGTAAATTAGTCCCCTGGCTTTTTTAATGGACTATTTCAAGCCATATTAGAAGAGTCTGGGACTAAATAGACACTTTTATAACTTTGGAATTAAAAATGTCATCTTGCAAGAATTCTGAGGACCATTTTGACGCAGTTCTCCATTTATTTATTAGTTCAATCAGTTGTCAACTTATTGCATGATTTTTTTTTTTAACTTTGTGTTTTCAGCGGTGCCACGAAGAAACCTGTTGGAATACTACATGTGAAGGTCGTGCGTGCGCTAAACCTCTTGAAAATGGATATCCTCGGTAAATCTGATCCTTACGTGAAACTAAGTTTGAGTGGTGAAAGACTGCCATCCAAGAAAACTTCGGTGAAGATGAGCAATCTTAACCCTGAATGGAATGAGACTTTCAAGCTTATTGTGAAGGATCCTCGAACCCAAGTTCTTCAGCTACATTTGTTTGACTGGGAAAAGGTTTAGCTTCCTGTTGACCTCTTTGTCTTCTTCTAAAGGCATCTTTTTGCATTCAAATTGTTTTAAAATTTAGAGAAATTTGCATATGTAGCACACATTTCTCATGTATTTACATATCTCACACCTAAACTTTTATATTTACATATATAGCACTTTGGCGCTTTACCTAGTGCATGAAAATGTGTATTTCACTTTTAAAAATTACTAAATAATGCTATTTTTTATGAGATATTAAAGATTTGGGTTCTCTGTGTGCGAATATGAAAGTAGTGTGATATATGTAAATTCATAAGAATCGCATGCTATGTATGTGATTGCCTCTTTAAAATGATGGGGCATTTACATACATACTATCCAATTCCTGTGTAGTTACATATCTAACACCCAATCTTTGCTTTTTACATTTAGACCACCCAAATCTATCATATCGCATATCAAATAAAAAATCCCACCATTTTAACATTTAAAAAGTGAAATACATCATTTCATGCAAAGGTAAGGTGGCGTGCATGTAAAAATTGAAGTATAGATGTTAATATGCAAATACATGAGAATTGAATGGTATGTATGTAAAACTTTGGTAATTAAAATGATAAAGTATAATTGGTTGGATATCATTATGATTTTTCATATGAAAAATTATGAGAAAAGTGTTAAATAGTTTTCTTACTCTTTACAGGGGATCATTTTAGTCTTAGATTCTATAGAAGTATCAATTTAATCCAAAAAATCTTTCAATATGAGCTGAGATAATCCCAATGGATGTCTATTTCAACCCCAATTTAAAGAATTTGAAAACTAATTTAACGCTTTTATAGATTCTAGGACAAATATAGCCATGTGAATAGTTAGGGAAGTTTTTTGACACTTGATAACTAATAGTGCTGTGTCCTATTTTGTAGGTCAAAGCCCATGATAAACTGGGCATGCAAGTTGTGTCACTTAATTCACTTACTCCTTATGAGATGAAGCAATTCACTCTTGATCTTCTCAAGAACATGAACCCAAATGATTCACATAACAAAAGAAATAGAGGAAAAGTTGTGGTGGAATTGACATTCGAACC